TGAAAAGGTAACTCCCTCTTTTTTGGAATCTTATAAAATACAGCTGCTAGCAATGTTTTTGGGACTGTGCTAATTTTAAAGACTGGCTGTATACTTAGCACTAAAAATACTGAATTATATGTTTAAAATAACTCCAGTATTGTTTACAGCCAAATAACTTCTTGTAGTATCTTGAATTGTATCATTTTGTGTTCATTTCTGCCATCAAAACAGAAATGAATCTGATGCATTTGCATCACTGAAAAAATAGTTATCTTGATTAAGGGTTTAAAACAGCACAGATCATTACCACTTAAAACTTATATTAAAATTCAGCCATTCCACTGACACCTAGTTAAAAGTGGTTTATATAATTTTTGTTCGTATAGAACTGGAAAAGAACTGCAGTATACTTTCCCAGGCTAGATTTATTATTCTGTGTATTAATCTGTTTAGCATGGCAGTCATCCAGATTTGCTAAATGTAGTACAGTAAATAGTTTCTATTCTCTGTATTCTGTCATTCTTTTTTTCAGGTCTGATAATTTAGTAGTAAATAAATGTTAGAAAAAAATATGAACCTGTTTGAAAGCCTAAATGACACAATACAAAATAAAATTAAGACATTTAGATATATCCTTTCAGTAATTTTTTTCTCATACTCAGCACCCTGTGCTTTAAACATTTGGCTCTAGAACCAGTCCTTAGTGATGCAAGGAGTCCCATGGGGCTTATGGGTTTTCAGAATGAGAGTTTAGGATTGTTTCATGCCAGCTGAAAGAAATAGTTGGATTACATCCATAAATAAGGCCTCCAAAAATCTATTACCTTTTGAAAATATTTAATTAAGCATTTCTTTTGAATATGTATATCTTACCCATGTTTATCAGTTGAATAACTTTGATATAAATTCATCATTGTATCTCTGTGGACATGTCATTTGCTTTTAAAATCAGGGTGAAATTATCAAACTTCTGTTGCAGTAAACTAGTCCCAGCTGAAGCCAGATATGAATAGAGGCAAAGTAATAAGTAATTATTGTGTGTCTGACACAGTATTTGTTAGACATTTTAAACCAAACTACCTTAACCTCCAGCAAAACTATTTACCATATACATTGTTTTGTCATGCAGAATGTGCTTCATTTTCCCCTGCACAGTGCTTTTAAGTAAACTATCTGTTGTGTTTCAGTGAATGAATGCCAGCATCCTGGCTTTTTCCCTATCTTGATTAACTCAATTGACCTTCCTGCCTGATCTCAGTTGAAGAGCACTAATATAATTATAACACTGTTCCAATAAAGAGGAAGCAGTCCCCCTGTAGCTTCATTTGCTTCTCTGCTATAGAAACTAGTTGAAAAATGTTCTGTAAAAATTAAGTCCTAAAAATAATATATCAGCCCCCCCCCCTTTTTTTTTGTTCGTTTCAGAAGTGTCTTCTTGAAAACCATTGTAGTATCTCTACTTACTTGGGAGGGTGAAGAACACAATACAGATTTAAAGGATTAAAATCAGGCTTTCTTATTCCCAGTTACAGGAATTCATACAAGAAGAACATCTGCATAGACATGCTGCGACAGGGTTATCACAAGTCCTTCTCGGAGCTCTTCACTCTGATACAGAAGTGGAATGCCTTGAGGGAGGCTGCAGGGCCTGGGTCAGCCATATGGCAGCAAAAGTCCCTGGAGGAGCAGCCTGATAAGCTGGATCAGCTTCACCACTTCCTGACCAGGGCTGAGGCAGCCCAACGAGCAGGTAAATGGGGGAATTGTGGGTAGCATAGCAGCAGGAGCTGCAGCACTGAGTGCCTGAGGGAAGATTTCAAATTGTTTCATGTATGAATTTGAAACATTACTGCTTCTTAGCACATTTCAGCCTTAGTCAACTAAGCTGTATTTATAGAATAAATGATAGGAATTGCAATGCTACAGATATAGTGAGAGGTTCTGTGAAATAGAATGGGAAAGAAAATCTAAAGCGTGTCATGATGTAACTAGAAACCTTGTGATATATTTCTAGTCTTGAGAACATCTCAATTATAATCTCATTCATAATTTCCTTTTTTCATTTCCCCCCCACCTTGAAAAGTTGTGTTCGTACTTTCTAAAATATTGTTCCGCGCAATTGCCTTGCTATAATACTGATTTCATAACGTGTGGGTTCTGCTAAATATGATTGAATTTATAAGTTAACATTAAAATTGGTTGGTGAACATGTCAGGTAAAATGTGATACATAGATATAATATGTCACTTGTGAAGACATAACTCTGAATTACTGTATGATATTTTCTCTACTTCCTAAAATGAATTTACTAAAGTATTTTATTTATTATGCCCTTTTACCATAAACAGTAAATCATGAAATAAATTGTTGTTGTTAGGGTAGAAAACCTAAGGCAAGTTCCTAAGGTTTTGAACTGGAACTTGTTTCAGATTTAGATATAATAAACTTTTTATTTTAAGCAAGAAGCAGTAAAAAATGTTTATAAATATCATTGTTCTCCTGTAATTCAAATGTTTTTTTCTTTTTAAGTTGTCAATTATTGGCCACTAGATTTATATTGAATTAATTGTAATTCTAGCTGAGAAACCCTGCTCTAGACCAAGAAAAGAAAGAGTTAATGAACTGTCCTGGGATGGTACTAAATCCTGGAGGAATCACCCTCTTGTTTGTAGGAATAAAAGAAATAGGTTTTGTACCTGGCCTGTACCTATGACTGACGGCTTCACCATATTATCTGAAGGTGTACTTCAAGTTTTGCTTCTTATTCACACATACCAGGCCATTACCTTTTAGGTGATGTTTTTAGCTTGAGTTAATTGATGTTGGTCATGGGGTGAAACTCAAGTGTTGCTGACACCGACACTAGTTATGCTACAGATAATTCAGTCATTTTGCTAATACAATTACTCTGTGCTGGTACATCTGAAGACAGGACATCATCACAAAGATTTAGAAGAAGGTACTAACTTATTTTTTCTCTTAACAATGTAAAGAATTTTTTTTTGTCAAATAAGTTAGAGTTTGCTGACATCACAAAATGACTTCAGTCATACGCATAAAGAAAGAATAGATACATGGCGCATTGGTACTTGGGAGATCATTTCTCTTTTTCATAGCTCAGACCTGAAGAATTATGAAGCTTTTACTTTTGAAAATAATTTGAGATCTTACAGTAATAAGCTTTCCTATGAGATTTCAGGCCTGTGCCTTAAGCTGTGATAGAAATATTGCAATAACCATGTTGCTTACAGTATTTTGGATGAAATCAGATTGTGCACCAAAAGCAAAAGCTCTGCTGATGTCAATCTCAGGAATGTTAGACTTGACTCTTTCCTAATAGGATATGGTCACAACAGTATTAGGTACTTCCTAATGAGAGGGAGCTGCCTATGCAGCCACATATAGCTAGCTGATTGGAAAAAACAAGGACAGGGTTGTATATTAAATCCTACCCTTTTCTGAGGCAGCTCCCTCATGCCTATAAAGAGGTGTCTCGGCCGAATTGCAATCTGCAGCCCAGAAACTCCTCCTGAAGGTGGGCACCTACATCTACTTTTTTTCAAAGAGCTGATGACTTTTTAAAGGGCTTTTCTTTTTCAATAGGGCTAGAGGAAGAGTAGGTGTTCGTTCCCTGGGCTTCCCTAATACTTGGGTAGTTAGACCACTTGCCCAGGAAGTAGAAGACTATATTTAATTCTCTCCCTTCTGATGATTCAGATCTGTTTCCCAACTCCCTGTTAAAGTAAAGCCAGTGTGTAGAAAAGAATTCAAGATGTACTGGGCCAGAAACAGATAGTAAAAAGGGGCGTGACTGTAGCTAGTGGTTACCTGAGAATGCAGAACCTAGGGCTTTCTTCAGTAGTGTTCCTGTAATTTACATTAAACAGTCCTTAGAGCAACGACAGGAATGGAAGATTCTTTCCACTTGCATACCAGCTCTAAACACTAAACTGTTTTATGATAGGAACACCACACACTGCTTCATCCTTATTCTTTCTCACCTGCATTTTAAAAAGTAGCGGGCACTACAACTGTATTTTGTGAAAAGCCCACTCTTTTAATTGTGTTTGATATACAGTAAGAATACCTACTAGACTGAGTCTTTCAAACAGATTAAGTGGAGAGACATCTAGTTAGTAAGTGGGCTTAGGTATGAGCTAGATGCTGAGCTGGTCAGCCTATCAAAACAGAAGTACTTTTGGACATATTGGGCGTGTCTACACATCATTATACAGTGACTTTGATACGGCACTGTGCTTTAGTACTTCTTTTTGGAAGTATTAAAGCATGGTGCAGTACAGGGGGTTACTGCACCATGCATGTGGTGCACTGCCACAGTGGCATACCTGACAATCATGTGTAGACCCACGTGATTGCTATATCGCCATAGTGCTCCACGCAGTGATGCAGCACATTACTATGTCACCACAGGGTGATGTATTGATGCACCCATATAGAGGCAAAACTGTGGGCATTTAGGGAACTGTAAGTCAAACACTGAGGGGCCTCTAGCATTTAGCTGCTTCAGGAGTAAGGAAGCAGCTAAGTGTGAATTTTCAGAATTGCAATTTTGGATTAATTAATTCATTTATTTAGTGTTTATGTGCAGGAGAAATATGAACTGGGAGCTTTATACTCAGACAGTGGGAGACTATCATCTAGGAATAGAGAGGGCATCCAACCAGTGGGAAATAGGGCTGGTAGGACATGTCTTTGGGTCAGATGTAACTGGACACAATTGTATTTCAGCCTGGCAACTAAATTTAGTCCTTGAGTTATCAGGTGTAAGGTAAATTCTTCAAAAACTACCAATGTTTATTCATTATAGTTTGAGAGTGAGAGGCATTTTATGACAAGCTGTAGGTGTATTCTGAAGGTGTGAACAGATGGATAAATTATATCATGTTAAAAGGGAAGGAGAGGGCAGGTGGAATTTACCATGTATCAACAGATACATGTATCAACAGATCTATGAAAACTGTTTGGTGTGACCACCCAGTAAGTGAAAGCTGTATGAGGACAAGTTAGCTTTGAATGGAACAGAGCTATGTTACTGCTGTTTTAGCTCCTATTTACCATAGAATACATGGACCAACACAAAAAGGTCCCTGCAGAACAGCTGATATGCTGATATGCAGTAAGTCCCCTTCTTCCTTAACTCAGGATAATTTGCTCATTTGTCCATACCCAGAACATATGTATGGGATTACTGAGAATCTTATTCAGAGGAATGTCTTGTTTTTGGGTGTGCAATAGGTGCCAAACCACTCAGTCATTTCCCAAAATATTTTGCCTGGCGCAGAAGCATTAAATATTACCTTTGAATCTATATGGATCTGATTGCACACGTTCCTTATATGTGCAAGATCTTTTGCCTAGCGGTGTCTGCTGAGCAGTAGGGGTGTGCGAAGCAGGCCCTATTTGATTTGGATTCGGCCCAAATCAGAAATAGTGATTCAATTCATTGTTTAGATCACTGTCCCTGATTCAGTTTGGCCAAATCTGAAGATTTGAAGCTGATTCAGAGAATCAGTGATTCAGACATAGACACAGCTTTAAATGTTTTTTCTACATACCTTGAGGTAGCAGGCACAGCTTGTGAACACTGTGATGCTGGGGTGCATGGAGCATCCCACAGAAGTGCAGGGGGGGCCCTCTACATGCTTGGCAGCAAACCTGGAAGTAGACTGGAAGTACTTCTGGGTCTGCCAGGGAGCATGCTGGGCAGCTCCTCTGTGCCCCCTCGGTTTGGCAATTGGCTGCAGGGGTGCCCCAGGTGCCACCCCCAGGCCCAGAAGGCACCAGTCACCGAGCCAGGGAGTGCACAAGGGTGCCCCCTGCATGCTCCCCGGCAGACCTGGAAGGGGACCTGAAGTGCTTCTGGTCCACTTCTGGGTCTGCTGCCAATCACACTGGGGCCTCCCGTGCTTCTGTGGGACTCTCCATGCACCCCAGCATCACAGCATTCACAAGCCCCTGCTACCTAGAGGCATGCAGAAAATATTTAAAGCTGCCTCAGAATCCAACTGGATCTAGATGGGTTACAGAGGTGGGTGGATGAGAATAGAATGGAATTCAATGCAGACAAGTGCAAGGTGCTGCATCTAGGGAGAAGGAACTTACAACATACCTATAGGTTGGGGCACACCCTTCTCATCAACACAGTGGCTGAAAGGGATCTTGAAGTCATTGCTGACTCCAGGATGGACATGAGCCGCCAATGCGAGGAAGCTGTCAGTAAGGCTAACTGCACCTTGTCGAGCATCTACAGATGCATCACAAGCAGGTCCAGGGAGGTGATCCTTCCCCTCTATGTGGCACTAGTGAGGCCACAGTTGGAGTACTGTGTCCAGTTCTGGGTGCCGCACTTCAAGAGGGAAGTGGCTAATCTTGAGAGGGTCCAGAGGAGGGCCACTTGCATGGTCAGGAGGCAGCAGGCCAGTCCCTATGAAGACAGACTAAAGGGTCTGAATCTATTCAGCCTCCACAAGAGAAGACTGATAGGGGATCTGGTGGCCATCTATAAACTCACCGGGGGGACCAGCAGAAAATAAGTGATGCTCTGTTCCCACAGGCACCACCTGGGATAACAAGGAATAACAGCCACAAATTGATTGAGAGTAGGTTCAGGCTTGATATCAAGAGGAATTACTTTATGGTTAGGGCTGCCACACTGTGGAATGGGCTCCCAAGGGAGGTGGTGCTCTCCCCTACCTTGGGGGTCTTCAAGAGGAGGTTGGATAGATATCT